TGCGGCCGGCGCTTGACCCACAGCTTCATTACCGAGACTTGTGTAACACTCCCATAGCCCAGTTTCATCGCCTCCTTCCGGACCCAAAATGCAGTTATTTGCACCTCTCTCACGGTGATTCATCCCCCAGCCACAGCAGGTCTTTACAAAGCAGCCACTGGGTGAGACAGGAGTGAAACCAAATACGTAGTAGATACAGCTCTTCTACTTGCCTAAATCGGCCTACCTTCATCTAAAGTACATTATCCAGTAAATACACCGATTCTGCTTGTTCTTCTGTCTCCTACAGTCTAGCGTTAGGTCACATAACCAGAATAATGGGGCTGTGAATAACAAATACTGATCCATAATCGTCATTGCTATGCGGACTTCTGCCAGCACCCTGACTATTGATCACTACTGATCAATCACTGTCTTGAAAATCACCTTTACCTCTTCACTGTCCACTGTTTCTTCTATATTTTCATGTATTTCCTCAACAGATTATTTGAAGAGACATGATATTGTGATAAAATTACTGACTCACCATAGGCCTTACTTTTGACAAAAATTCTGTGGTCATGGATTTTCATGGCTTTTTAGTGGTCAGTCCTAACAGAAATTAAACTGGACCATAGCGATTGTCATTTCAAGTAATTAAAATTAATAATTTTATTTGCCTCTGTTCAGCAGCTTCTTATGTCTGAAAATAATCTTAAATATTATTCTAGGCCTTCATTGCTACCATAGGTTATTATGCAAGTAATCCTTTCAAGTTAACCTAGAATTTGTAATTCTTACATTGAACACAAATTCCACTACCCCTGGAAAGCAGTAAATCTCTTGTATTTTACTTGCAGCCCCTTTTAGAAGACACACGAGGTGTAAGTGAAGTCATCTTCTCTTTTAAGACCAGATGATCTTTTTGCAAGGGAAAATGAAACTGATAGGTTAATCAGAAAAGCAATAAATAGGCAGGAACAGCTAGTTTTTCTTATCTCTGTCCCCCCTCACGCTCTTTGCACCGCATGATGTGTGACACAGGGCTGTTTAAGAGCCTCGAGCCACTGTTCTCCAGTAGTCCAGTACACAGAAAGAACTGAGATTTTACAGTAACTAGCTGGGAAGTATAAATGTTGATGAGACAAACGAGCAGTTTTGCTTTCACTTAACGTCATCATAATGCTAAGTTTATGGGAATATAATGGGTACCCCAAAATAAAGGTGTTCTTTAGTAGCTAGTGTATTTTTTTACAGTATCCGGGGAAAAAAAAAACCTTCCTAATTAAAAAAATGTATCCTCAATTGTGATTTTTAAGGAATCTTGATATATTTCTGTAGTCAATTCAAACATGTACATTCAGCCAAAAGAGTTACTGCTTAGTAACAATTCAGTATTGAGTTATTACTTCTGTTGCTAAATGCATGCGTAAGGAGACAAAACAAACTATTGTCACACATATAATTTAAACTAAGAGAAAATAGGAATACTGGCTTTTCTTTGACTTACAGCCACAATTTAAAAAAAAATATATAATTTCCTAAACTATCTTAGCCATGTAAGTCTAAAACTGGTCCCTCTGTTTAGATCAGAAGAGTTTTTACTGAAATAACTGCATGAGTTAAAGAGCATTATTTAGTTTAGATACCCTCATGATAGAGTCATAAATATCCTACATAGAAATTGCCTAGAAAACCTGTGTACCTCAACCTATATGCATGTAATGGTACGAGATAAAGGTTCGCACCAATAAAATTGTGATTGGCTCCAATTAAATTTGTACTTGGTCTTAGAACTAATGGTTAAATGTCTTAGTCTGAACTTTCTGGACTGGGTACATTAGATACTATCTCCTGAAATTAATCCACATGACGTAAGTATTTTGGAAAATGTACTCTTGAGTATCAGAACATTTTTACTCTGTTTTTACCTACTTTCATAGTAAAATACTTTTAAGTTTGATATCACCATTTCTGGGGAGTCAGGGGAAAGTCTCCAATACACTAATTCAACTAGAAAAGCTTGTTATAGAAAAGATGGCAGTAATCCTGTCTCAAATTTTGGCTTGACTTTCACCTTTTCCAGCACACAGATTTAAATAAGAACACAGGAGGAGGTAGTTGTCAATCAAGCTAGTATTTTACAGCAAAAAACATGTTCAATATGTACTCTAAGCATCTAGAATCGTGTTTGCCCAATATTTTGATTTTTTTTTAAAAGGAAAAATCAGTGAATGTCAAGTAGCATTTGATGAGGTTCACTCATCAAAACAGTTTTTCCTCTTTTTATGTACACATAGATATATAATTCCTAAAGAATATATTTGTCATTTTGCTGGTGAAAAATATTTCACCAGGGTATTTATTCAGAAATACAGAGCTGGTCTAAATTTCAGAAGCTTGTAAATCTGAGGATAGAAAAACAATGGCAAGTTGGTCATCGTGGTTTTGATAGAAGTATTAAATAAGGTAAAAATATATGTGAATCCAGTTTTTGGATCTCAAAATTACTGGATTTTGAAAAGTCTTGAAATTTAGACCAGGACTTAGACAACATAAAAATCCGACTGCTGCGTAATGAAACCAAGGCTTCCTTTGTCAGGATGAAATCTGCACAAGTCCCTTCTCAGGCTCGAATAAGTGAGGAATAAAAACTGAACTAAACCAGAATTGCCAGAGGAAGTGGAGAGCATGCTGCAGTCTCTTGGGGAACAGGCTTTTTCGAAAATTTGGAAATCATTTACT